TAAGGGATTTGATTTAGGTCATACCTGAATGGTCTAGTGGTTTTCCCTACTTTCTTCAATTTAAGTCTGAATTTTGCAATAAGGAGTTCATGATCTGAGCCACAGTCAGATCCTGATCTTGTTTTTGCTGACTGTATAGAGCTTCTCCATCTTTGGTTGCAAAGAATATAATCAATCTCATTTTGGTGTTGACCATCTGGTGATGTCCATGTGTAGAGTCTTCTCTTATGTTGTTGGAAGAGGGTGTTTACTATGACCTGTGTGTTCTCTTGGCAAAATGCTATTAGCCTTTGCCCTGCTTCATTCCGTACTCCAAGGCCAAATTTGCCTGTTACTTCAGGTGTTTCTTGGCTTCCTACTTTTGCAGTTCAGTCCCCTATAATGAAAAGGACATCTTTTTTGGGTCTCAGCCACCACGCAGAAGCATGGCCGAGAGGAGCTACCCCTCGCCCAAGGTCAGAGGTGGCGACAGAGAGCGCCAGGCTGTGACGGTGCAGGAGCGGCCGAGAGGAGCTACCCTGCGTCCAAGGTCAGGAGCGGCAGGAGGGCCTAGAGGAGCTACTCCACGTTCAAGCTCAGGAGGGGCGGCTGTGAGGAGACATCCCTTGTCCAAGGTAAGGAGCAGCGGCTGCGCTTTGCAGGAGCCGTGAAGAGATACCCCACGTCCAAGGTAAGAGAAACCCAAGTAAGACGGTAGGTGTTGTGAGAGGGCATCAGAGGGCAGAAACACTAAAACCATAATCACAGAAAACTAGCCAATCTGATCACAGGACCACAGCCTTGTCTAACTCAATGAAACTAAGCCATGCTGTGTGGGGAAGAATTTAACTCAGATGACCATTATATCTACTACTGTGGGCAGAAATCCCTTAGAAGAAATGGAGTAGCCATCATGGTCAACAAAAGAGTCCAAAATGCAATACTTGGATGCAATCTCAAAAACAACAGAATGATCTCTGTTCGTTTCCAAGGCAAACCATTCAATATCATGGTAAATGCACTATAAATGACTATAGTCTAATTTGTGTCACTAGTGTTGTTTTTTTCCCATTGTTTGCTCTTACACACTTATATTCTTCAATGAAATTTCTGCCTGACTTTAATTATTTCCTTAGGAATGGTTGCTAGAGGTAGAAATGCTGGTTACAGAGGTGGCCATTAAAAGTTATTGATTCCTATTCTGAAACTACTTTCCAGAAAGCTGGTTCCAACCGAGGGCTCAGCGGCCTTGGAGGCGACCCTCTGCTGAGGCTGCTGTGAGACTTCCAGCGGATATATTTCCTCTTGGCAGCAGCTTCTGCCGCAGCTAAAGGGCAGTGCGTGTGTGCAGCCCGCGGGCTAGGGCTGGGCTCCCATCACTGCAGGGAGTGGGGGTGCGGCCTCGCGCTCTCTGCTCTACTTCCCCACACTCCCCAGGGGGCATCAGGTCTCTGACGCCCCTCACCGGACAACTTCGAGGATCAAAGGCCACCGCAGACAGGATGCTTCATCTCTTCCTTCACCCTGTCTCCCATGGACCTCATAGCACTTCTTCTGCCACCAACATGGGGTATTTAAAGCCCCATTTTGTGCCCACTGCCAGCCAGTGGGGCCTGTGCACTTTGGGGGATGTGGAAGGGCTTGCCGGGGGGAGGGCTCCACCCACCAATCTCTCCGGGTCCCATGGCCCAGGGTCCTTTACAAGCAGCGGTTTGTAGGCATGAGTGTTAATCCAGGCCCAGGAATGATAACCGAGGCCAAGAAGTCCCCGTGCGGGGCCGGGAGAGGGCTGGCTGGCACACAGGCCAACGTACTGCTGGACCGCTCAGCTCTGAAGGCTGCCACGAGGAACGTGAGCTGTTCTAGAGGGTTCAGTGGTGGGCGCAGGGCTGAGGAGCTGATCCCACGGCTCACAAACAGGATGAGGAGTTTCATCAGTGATCCAGAGGACGATCTGTGTGCCTCCTTCTCCTGAGAAGTCAGCAGGGAGAGCTGGTAGGAAGCACGGCATCGGGAGGGGGGCAGTGGAAGGTCACAGTGGTGGGAGGAGCAGGAGGTGAGCTGATTAGCTGAGAGGAGAGGGGTGGGGCGCAGACCTCCCCAGCAGGGATGCGCTTGCAGGGAGCGGTTGCAGAATGGACCAGAAGAGGGACCATGTTTAAAGTACATGCTATGTGATGTTCAAGGCCCAGCAGAGAGTCCATCTTACTCCATGAAAGCTTTTAAATCTGAATCAGAAAAGAGTGCATAGGGTAGGGAGTGGGGCCAGCAACAGAAGTTGTCGGGCGAGCATCCCCAGGCCCCCAAGTCTTCGTCATGACTCTCATGATGGAGGGGGAGGGTGGTACCCAATGGACACAAACTCAGCGTGTGGTCAGGCTTGCTGCGTCTGACCCCTGAGCTGCCCTGGGCTCACGATCGAGGGACAAGGCACAGGGTGACCTATAAGCCAGCGTGGGGGCACCCGTACCTCAGACAGGGCTTCTTTTCCCACAGGCTGCCCTCGGGGAGACGTGGGCATGAGTCCCAGAGGTCGGGCAGGTCCACTTTGTCCATCCAACCCCTGGCTGGAGGCCTCCTCCTCTTCTGAGCATTTGCTCAGCGGCTGCTGAAAGCCGCCCCCCAGCAGCTGGGGCAGGGGGTCCTCTTCGATGGAGATGATCCTGCGGAGCCGCCGGGTGAGCGGTCCTCCGGGCCCCGGCTCCTCTTCTGTAATGGGGCACCCACTCAGGCCCAGGGAGCTTCTCCGCCTCTGGATGCCAAACACATCCTCCTCCTCCTCGGACTGGCTGTTTGGTGGGGAGACAAAGAGTGGGGACAATATCATAACATGTATCTGAGCGGAGGCGGGGGGCTGCCCGACGGCTTCTGTGATAGTTGAGGAAGCACACGCTTTGGGGGCAGAGAGGAGCTAGGAACAGGAAAAGCAAACTCCGCATGCTTTAGCTCTTTCACCGAATGTCTTTACAATGAAGGTGAAGATGATGATGAAGGTGAAGGTGGTGAAGGGGAAGGCAGTGAAGGTGATGAAGGTGATGACAAAAGCAAAGAAGAGGATGAAGGTGATGGTGGCTCCAGGTTTTAAGCCAGTGACACGGTCCCTGCTCTCAAGAAGCACTTGGCTCAGGAGTCTACAGCCATCCTGACATACTCACTACACTGGTCCAGGCTGTGGGAGGCGCCGTGAAAGAGAAGGAAAGCTGTGAAGAAAGGAGTGTAACAGACGTGCAAACAAAGCCTCCTGGGTCAACAGCGGGCAGCCTTCGCCCAGGTCGGACACCAGCCCTTCCCAGCCGCGCGTCCCCAAGTCAGACGCCAACCCTCCAGGCCGGTTTCCCTGCCCGGCCGCCCGGCCCACCTCCCTGATAAGCTGGGGCACAAACCAGGCCCGTTAGGGAAGCAGCCCTCAGGGAGGCAGGCGAGGGGGTCGCTGCTCTGGGGAGGGGCCCCCAGCACGGCAGGCACCCACCGGCTCGGGGCTGGCGAGGAAGCCAGGCAGGGCCCTCCACCCGCTTCTTCTCCCTTTCTCCGGAGAGTCAGGAGTGAGCAGCCTCGGACGGTCTGAGCAGCCAGAAGCAGGAGAAGCAGGAGGTGGAGGATTCGGGCGCTGGACGTGGGGTCAGTGCGCGGGCTGTGTCCTCGAGGCTCGAAAGCAAAGGCCCCTCGGGGCTCTCCCCCCCTCACGCCACTGCGAACAAGTCAGAGGGCGGTTGTATGGGAAGGGACTTTAGTCCAAAATCGAAACACACACACGAGGATTAAAAGAGAAAATGGAGTAGGAAGCGGCAGTGAGGCGACAGGGCGGAAGGACACAGAATATGCCGAACGGAGAAGCCCCTTCGCTTTGCTCCCCGGCTTCTAGCATTTCTGGCTCCTAAGGAGCGACAGCAGAAAGAAAAAGAAAAAAAAAAAAAGTGTATCACTGTTCGGAAGTTATGGACGATTCTGAAAGAGAAATGAGGATACAGCACTTACTCACAAAATGCTGACTTAGTTTCGTCCCCTGATATAAAATAAAAGATTTGCGGGAATTCAAGAACGCTTAGATTTACTGATAAAATCAGTCTTTCACAGAAACTGTCACCTTTTCAACAAATTTCTCTTACATTCTCATGAGCCTACTAAGTGCTCACCCACTTCAGCACACAATTAGTGTTCCCATCTGCTTTCTCTCTGCTTACACACACATGTGCACATGTGTGAGCATGTGAGCAACATGCATGCACACACACGCACTCACCCACTCACACACACACTCACACACACACTCACACCCACTCACACCCACTCACACACACGTACTCTCTCTCACATACACACACAGGCAGAGCATGGCTTTTTAAAGTCCTTGCAACCAGGAAAGAAATGGCCACTGAAATGATCCTAAAATGAAATGACCCTAAAACGAATTGCTTCTTGGCAAAAGCTTCTCCCTGGGGAATTTTCAAGCACTGTTACCCTCTGGAGTACCATCAGCATAGCATGACTAAGTTCCTCTTTGGTTCTGACACCAAACGCAATGTGTGAGTGGCAGAGAACAGGCACCTCTGCCAAAGTCTATGGGAATTCAGAGTTCTTGATATTGATTATTCGTCAGTTAATGTCTGTTTCCTCCTCTCAACTGTAGGTTCCTTGAAAGCAGAGGTGGGGTCTATTTTCTTGATCCCTGTACCCCAGCACACAGCACTGTGTCCTGCACACAGCAGGTACCCGATAATGGATATTGAGGGCAGGACTCATGCCTAATCGATCTTTGGATCTTTGGAGGCTTCCTAGAACTCAAAGAATGACTGGTATGCAGTAGGCAATCAGGCAGTGCTTGTTGAGAGCATATATTCGGTTCCAAGGAACCAAGAGAACAATTACTGCAGGAATTTGGCTCCCATGTTGCATCCCATGTTGAGCTGTTTAGAAAAGGAATTGATGATAATCAAATTCAAGATTTTGACAGATCAGTGCATTGACATCCCCAGGTCACCTCCACTTTGCATGTCTTTTTATTTCCTGGTTGCTGTCCTCAGGTTCTCCCAGATGAGCAAGTTCACACAATCACTCCTGGGTTTTACTCTTGGGGATCTGACTGTCTCTACCTCTCTGTGGCCATCATGGGCACAGAGTACATGATCCATAGAAGAGAGGGCAGGGGACTAGCTTGCCACTCTCCAGGAGCAATGGGCCACTCCTCTGGGGACTCAAGTGCTGTCCAGGAGCAACCAAGCACATTATCCCTGAGTTAATTAACTTTGAATTATTGAGAGGAGTCTGTGAAGTTCAGACCCCATGCTCATCTGCAAAGGAATTAATGATTGGAGATTCCATGAGGCAAGTGAAGCGTTATTAGTTGCTCAGTCGAGTCTGACTCTGTGACCTCGTGAACTATAACCTGCCAGACTCCTCTGTCCATGGAATTCTCTAGGCAATAATATGGGAGTGGGTAGGGATTCACCTCTCCAGGCGATCTTCCTGACCCAGGGATCAAACCCGGGTCTTCTGCATTGCAGGCAGATTCTTTACCATCTGAAACATCAGGGAAGCCCATGGAGATTCAATACTGCACTATAATTACCCTTCAGACTCACACAGTCCTGCCTGGAAGACCAGGAACATCCTTCTGCCCGACAGACCGCAGAGCTCTGCCTGGCATTCCCGCCTTCCCCGTTGCTGACCCCTCTTCCTCCCACCGTCTCTGTCCCTGGGCTGATTTGCAGCTGCTCTTCAGCGCCCCCTGCAGGAACACTGCAGGCTGGGGCAGCCCAGGACCAACAACCAGTCCTGGGACTCACCCTGCACCTTGACATCAGAACAAGAAGGCACATGTCCTTCAAGATTCAACGGGCGTGCACATGGCTGACCCCAGGCTTCCTGCCAGGGCCAACTGCACTCAGCATGTGCTCAGAGCCTGCTCCCAACCCTGCAAGGCCAAGGAACAGATAACAGGGAAGCAAAGTGGGATGGCTTACCTTCTGAGCATCCCTGTGCCATCCACGTATTTGCCGATCACAGAGCCAGATCGCTGCTTACAGCTTGCCTTGGAAGCAGCTGTGTTTGCTCTGGCCGCTTTGTCTTTCTGGAGAAACACAGAATGCCCTCAGATAATCGCCTGCTGATTCGTCCCAGTGTCTGAGCAGAAAAGGGCTCAATTTCCCCACCTCATAGATCAGGCTTGAAATAAAACTCTAAAAGAAGCAAGTGATGGCCTGGGCTCCTTGCTAGCCTTTACCCACTTTCCTTTTGCTATTATCTCTCGTTAGAATTCCTTCACCTCCTGTCTAATAATCTAATTGAAGGAACCAGTTTAGAGCCCCGGGATCTAGGAAGTTACCCTTCACAGGAGTAGTGATCATTTGCAAGAGGATAAATCAGTTCAGCTCAGTTCAGTTGCTCAGTTGTGTCTGACTCTTTGCAACCTCATGCACTGAAGCACGCCAGGCTCCCCTGTCCATCACCAACTACCGGAATGTGCTCAAACCCATGTCTGTCAAGTCAGTGATGCCATTCAACCATCTCATCCTCTGTCATGCCCTTCTCCTCCTGCCTTCAATCTTTCCCAGCATCGGAGTCTTTTCCAGCAGGTCAGTTCTTCACATCAGGTGGCCAAAGTATTGGAGTTTCAGCTTAAGCATCAGTCCTTCCAATGAATATTCAGGACTAATTTCCTTTAGGATCGACTAGTTAGATCTCCTTGCAGTCCAAGGGACTCTCAAGAGTCTTCCCCAACACTACAGTTCAAAAGCATCAGTTTTTTGGTGTTCAGCTTCCTTTATAGTCCAACTGTCAAAGCCATACATGACTACAGGAAAAACCATAGCTTTGACTAGACGGACCTTTGTTGGTAAAGTAATGTCTCTGCTTTTAAGGAGCTTCAGACTGCCCTCCTGCAAGCTCCGGCTTTGAGTTTGCCCACAGGGTCAGAATTTAACTTGTTTGTCACTGAAAGAAAAGGTATGGCCTTGGGAGTTTTGACACAACCCCGAGGGCCTCATCAGCAACCTATTGCATGTCTAAGCAAAGAATTAGATGTAATTGCACGTGGGTGGCCCCACTGCCTAAGAGTAATTGGGGCCACGGCTTTATTAGCACCTGAAGCTTTAAAAATAATTAATGGACGAAACCTTACTGTACTGACTTCTCATGATGTGAGTGGAATCTTGAATTCTAAAGTTAATATTTGGATGACAGACAGTAGGCTTCTTAAATATCAGTCACTATTGTTAGAAGGACCAGTAACTAAGCTTAAAGTTTGTGGAAATTTAAATCCTGCTACTTTCCTTCCTGAGAAGGAAAATGAAACACCTGATCATGATTGTTCCCAATTTTTAACTTTAAACTATGCAGCTCGGGAAGATCTAATGGATACCCCATTAGACAATCCTGACATGGAAATATTTACAGATGGCAGTTCTTTTGTTCGGGATGGAAAGCGTAAAGCAGGTTATGCTGTGGTGACTGCTGAACAGGTTTTGGAAGCAAAATCTCTCCCCCAGGGAACCAGTGCCCAGTTAGCGGAGCTTGTGGCCCTGACCCGAGCTCTAGAGTTAAGCAAAGGGCAACGTGTGAATATTTACACTGATTCTAAGTATGCTTATTTGACTTTACATGCTCATGCTGCAATATGGAAAGAAAGACAGTTTAAAACAGCAACAGGAGAACCTATTAAGCATTTCAGAGAGATCGAGAGACTTTTAACTGCTATCTATTGTCCTAAAGAAGTAGCAGTTATGCATTGCAAAGGGCACAGCAGGGATNCCAAGGGACTCTCAAGACTGTTCTCCAGCACCACAATTTGAATGCATCAGTTCTTCAGTGCTCAGCCTTCTTTATGGACCAACTCTCACACCGGTACATCACTATTAGAAAAGCCATGTAAACTGAAATCACTCAGTCGTGTCCAGCTCTTTGCAACCCCATGGCCTCTATGGTCCATGGAATTCTCCAGGCCAGAATACTGGAGTGGGTAGCCGTTCTCTTCTCCAGGGGATCTTCCCAACCCAGGGATCAAACCCAGGTCTCCCTCATTGCAGACAGATTCTTTACCAGCTGAGCTACCAGGGAAGCCCTGGAAAACCCATGGGTTTGACTATATGGACCTTTGTCAGCAAAGTGACATCTCTGCTTTTTAATACACCATCTAGGTCTGTCATAGATTTCCTTCCAGACAGGAGGATTGATTAGCCCAGTGCCCTGTCCACAGCTACAAAGCTAGAACAGAGTATTTCAGATCTTTTGTGGAAGCAGGCTGGGTGGAATAATTTGTAACGTGTCCTCAGTGGAGAGCCTAGTGGAGTTGGGGGCTTGCACCCCCCTCTCCAGGGCTCCCTAACAGATGCCTTCCAGATGAGAGGGACTCAGATCACAGAAGAGTCTCTCATTAATCAGCCAGTCCCATGGTTCTGAGTGATCTTTAATGAGAGAAGGAGGGGTGGCCATGCTCCCAGGGCCCCAGAAGGTATGGCTGTGATTCCAAATTAATCTTTAATTATTATCCAGCATAAACATGATTTTATCCTCTTTTTCCTATTCCCCATGAGGTTTCTCAATTCCATTCCCTTCTCGAAACAGAATGAGTTCGGCAAGGGAAGAGAAGCAAGGTCAAGGGATTAGGGTGACATTTGGTAGGAAGCTTTAAAATAAATTTATTTTTACTTCTAAAACAATTATAACCATTATTACCACAAACAAACATGTGTAGGCTTAAGCCTTGCTCTGATAGTACACATAGGTGGGCGCAGAGACGTGTCGCTGCCAGCCGGGGGTAGAAGAGAGACGGTTATGTGCAAGGTCCCTAAGCGGTTTGCAGCTACAAATCAGCTTAGACCAAACGAGGGGCAAGCTAGCTGGCAGGTGCTGGCTGCATTTAGGGAACTAACAGCTTAGGGGCTAGCACAAGACCTCCTTTTCCAAGAGGTTTTCACACACACACAAAACAATCCCTGTACACTACTATGCATAAAATAGCTAGCGGTGTTGGTGGTGTTTAGTCACTTAGTCGTGTCCGACTCTGTGTGACCCCATGGACTGTGGTCCACCAGGCTCCTCTGTCCGTGAGATTTCCCAGGCAAGAATACTGGAGTGAGTTGCCATTTCCTTCTGCAGGGGATCTTCCCAACGCGGGGATCGAACCCCTGTCTCCTGCATTGGCAGGTGGGTTCTTTACCACTGAGCCACCAGGGAAGCCCAAAACAGCTAGTATAAACTGCTGAATAACATGAGGAGCCCAGCCTGGGGCTCTGTGACCACCTGGAGGAATGGGATGGGGGATGGGAGGGAGGCTCGAGAGGGACGGAATACACATGTAGTTATGGCTGATTTGCATCATTTACAGCAGAAACCAACACAACATTATGTCCTCCAACTAAAAATAAAAAAACAAAAAGCCCTACAAAATGGAAAAAAGGGGAAGAATTCCCTTTCCTCCTGTGATCACTGGGGTCATGGTCCAAGGAGGCCAACAATTTACCCAAGATCACACATGAAATTCACGATGCATAATCCTGATAGAATGTCACATGGATCCATCCTGTCCCCCCCTTTTCTTTCCTTCAGAGCATTCAACAGCTACTCTCTAAAGGGGAGGGTGATAGGAGACCCTGAAAGCCTAGATTCTGCTTAATGCATTCACAAATGAAAATCTTCATGTAAATATAGGATTTTTGTTCTATTTGGGAAAGTATATAGGTTTAGAGGAGCAGCAGTCCCCATAGGATTAAAAAATTGTATATAAAATCAACTATGTAAATTATGAAATACACATTTTAATTCGCTCTATGACAGTCTAAAATGTAAAATTTTCATCAAGACATCAAAATCTTACTGAAGGAAAAAATAGGACATTTTGGTTTAAAAGTGATGGCGACATTTCAACTCATCGTTTTTACGTTCATAAAGTGAGGGACCCTCCCGAGTATTCCAGTCTCATGATGCCAAAACAAAAGTGTGTCACTTCACAGAAAATTAACACACGGTGACCCCATGGGTCACCTTGAACCTTTACTACTTTTGAAAACTCTTATGCCACCGTCCTGCCCACACGAAGGTGCAGCCAGACCCCAAGCCTCAGGGCTTTCTTGGGCCCGTCCCAGCATGGCCTGGCTGCCACTGGACCCCAGTCCTTGTCTTTCCCCTGCCGCGTGGAGGGGGCACTGGCCACTTACCTGGAAACGTATGTCCTGTTCATCCCGGAGATGCTTGTTCCTTTCCCTGCAGATGGAAGGGGGAATCTGTTCAAACATGGGGCCTGCGGTCAACAGATCCACAGCACTGGTTTGACGGTCAGGTGGGTGCAGAGGACAGCTGTGCATGCCAGACCCGGGGAGGGTGTGGAACTGCTTTCCTTAGGGATGGTGGCTAAGGGCAGAGGGTGATTGTGTCTAAGTCCGGTCAGAGGCAGGGGGACAGAATGGCCTTATGGGCATTGGCCTTAGAGCCACCTGACATCTAGGCTCCCCTCAATGGGTTGGGGGGCCAGGTGAGGCAGAGAAGCTCCAGGCCGGGGCTCTGAACAGACACTGGTGGTGGTTTAGTCACTAAGTCATGTCCAACTCTTGCGACTCCGTGAACTGTAACCCGATAGGCTCTTCTGTCCATGAGATTCTCCAGGCAAGAATACTGGAGTGGGTTGCCATTTCCTTCTCCAGGAGATCTTCCCAACCCAGGAATTGAACCCGGGTCTCCTGCATTGCAGGCAGATTCTTTCCCAACTGAGCTATAAGGGAAGCCCTCGTCTCCATTAAAAAGACCCACAAATGTCGGCAGAGCAGTGCCTTGTCAGCCTCCCCTGCTCACTCAGTGTACCTGCCCTTGTAGTTTTTCAAAGTACAAATAGCAAAAAGGGGAAGAGCCCAACCAAACGCATTTCTGTGCATCTTGTTCTCTGCCTTCATTAAATCCTTCCTGAGAATCCAGACCTCCTGTCACACCGATGAGAACTCAGCCACCTAAGAAAATCTCTTCCACCTTCCTGGGCTTTTGAATCACATCTTAAGTGAAGAAATCTGAAATGCATTCTCTTTGGAGAATTTTTTTATTTGGTGGCATCAAAGATGCCAGACACAGTGATCTTACCTTGCTTTCAAATTAAAAAAAAAAAACAACTAAAAACCTTAATAAGGTAGTGATTCAAACCTGCTTGCAATTAAAAAAATTAGAACCCAAATTTCATCACCATTTCCCAAGAGGTGTTTCGCAGGCAGAGCAGGTTAAGTAACTTAGAAACCTCAGAGGCAAAATTGAAAATTCCATCTTTCCCCACACCTGCCTGGGTTTGGTCATTTGGGGGAGTTTTTTGAGAGTATTCCAAACCAGATCAAACCAGTGAGCTTGAATTTACAGAAAGCTTAATAGGCTGAGAAGACTCCTATCTTGCTGCCCTGTTTGTGATTCATTTACTCATTCAACAAACGCTAACAGAATGTGGCAGGATAAAAGGCACGAGCCAGCTAGGGATTCATTTCTGGCTCCGGGAGCGAGTGTCTGTGTCACATTGGTAAATTACTTCATTTCTCTGATACCCGCTTCCTCTTGGGTGAACTCCTGTATTAACAACCCTCCACCTTCCCAGGTTTGCTTGAGGACAAAGGAGAGTACGTTTGACATGGACGAGATGCTCGATCAGTTCAGTTCTCTCCTACCTCGGCAAGTACCATGCCAGGCACCCAGAAGAATGGGGCAATGCCCCCCTGCAGAGGTACAAACTGGAGAGGGGGGAGGGCACCTGTGCAAACGGACCGAACATAGTGGAGAGATGGTGCTCAGCCGTCCAACAGGATGTTGAGGACCAAGGGAATGAGGGTGCTCTCTCAGCACACAGGTGAGACTCTGGCGGGGAGGGGGGGGTGCCCTTCTGGGCTATGGGATGAGCACGCACCTCAGGAAATCCAACTGCTTCAGGAGCCCCGACTTCTCCCGCTGTAGACTCTCGGTGACGCGGTACACTTCCCTGAGGGGTACAAGAGGGCAGTGATGAGTGACCGCACCAGGTGGGGCACTCCCAGGGCACGAGGTGGTGATGAAGTCAGACCCTGGAGATGGTACCCGGGCTGGTCCTCCGCTGGAGAGCAGGGAATCGTGCAGGGGCTTAAACCAGGAATCAGCGAGTCATCTCAGGCACCTGTTTGGAAGGTGAACTTATCCCCACTTTAAAGACATAGATCACAAGACAGGTTCACTAACTCTCTCCCTGGACAACCCAGGACGGAGCCAGGGTCCTAATCCAGACCCCTGGTCCCAGCGATACTGCTTCATGATGACCGTACTGTCTTCTCGGGCTCCCAGTGGTCCTGCCCTGCCCAGAGGTCAGGGAGTCAGAATCAACTCTCTTCTCCAGCCCAGTCTCGGAGGGTGGGAGCAGAGAGTGCTTTCCCACCACCCCCACCTCCACCATGCTGGCTTAGTTTATTTTCAGGAGCTACTGAAGAACCACTTTCCCTTCTCCACCTTCCTGCAACAGTCTCCAATCTCTTCCCGAAGAGCTGGAATTTCCACTGTTGCGCATTCATTTCTTTGACTAAAAATTTCCATCTCTAGCTACAAAGCAGAGATTTAACGTATCAGTCATAGTCCATCGTTTACATCACAATGTGAGCGTGTCAATAGAGGATCTGGGGGAAGGAGAGAGAGAGGCTGAGAGGTACACTCGGGGTGGCTGGAGGGCAACTTCGGCTGCGATGTGGGGCTCCGAGTGCTGGGTTTGCCTTTGTGTTCTCGCTGCAGTGTCTGGCTTGAAAGCTGCAGCTAGCAAACAGCAGCGGGAAGAAAGGAGAGAGGGCCAAAGGAGGGTGGGAGGGAAGAGGGCAGGGAGGGAGAAGGGAGGGTGGAAGAGAGATGGAAGGGAGGAGGGAGTGGTGGCGAGGAATTCAGCCTCTCTCAGAAAGGGGAAAAATAGAGAATGGGGAGACGCTGGAAAATAAACCTTGCTTAACTGCGCAAGTCTGCCTCCATCCTTCCCTCTGGGCTCTGCCCTGCGGTTCAGAGACTAAATCTCCCCCAGGCTTACGGCAAAGGGTCCAAGGTTCCACATTTTCAAGCCACAGCCTGGTTTTAGAGCAGGAAGCACCTTGCACCCGATAAACGCATCGCTGCCATGGGCTGCCTGGAGGGTGCACAGACCGCGCTGGGCAAGGACTGCCCCCCGACCACCCCGCCCATGTCACTACTGAGCTTGCTGGGGCCACAGGACGCTCCCGCAAGCTTGCGATCTCCTGATTCCTTCCGCTGTATCTGTGGGTTTTTCCCCTTTATAGAATAATTAGAAAGTCAATTTGCAACAGTAAAAAACTGCCTCAAATTCTAAGTTCACCTCAGACAATCCTAATTAAGCAACAGAGCTTCTCTGGCTCCTGCAGAGCTGCGAACTCCAACATTTTATTACCAATTATATTTAATTTCGACTTGAGGGAAAACAATGTCTCTCCCATTATCCACGCTGGATCCCTAAGCCCCAGCCCGGGACTCTGCTCACCGACCAGACGGGCACTACGTGAGCATACCTGCCAGCTTGCTCCTTGGTTCCCGTGGAGCCAAGATTGCCTCCAGCTGGCTTTGGGGCTCCCCAGCCCCCACCGTGCGTCCTGCTTCTTCCTGGGAGCAGATGGCTTTCCCCGCTGAGGACAGTCACTCAGTGGAGACCTCAGTGGAGGGCTGGGGTCTCACAGTGTTTGTGCAAGTGTGAGTGTATGCGTGCTCAGTCGTGCCTGACTGTGCAACCCCATGGACTGTAGCCCACCAGGTTCCTCTGTCCATGGAATTCTCCAGGCAAGAATACTGGAGTGAGTTGCCATGCCCTCCTTCAGGGGATCTTACCGGCCCAGGGGTCGAACCTGTGTCTCCTGTTTCTCCTGCATTGGCAGGCAGGTTCTTTAATGCTGAGCCACCTGGGAAACTCCACAGTATTTGATGGAGGGGCCAAGTCCTCCACAATGAAGAGGACCTCATTCCAGCCCTCCTCTGGCCCTGCTGACACAGCACCAGGAGACCCTGGCACCATGACAACACACACATATACACACCCGTACGTGGTTGTATCAGTGCACACATGTGGCTGTTTGTCTAGTAGACATACAGATATCCGACTATCTAAACATGCACGCACACACACACACATACACACACACACACACACACACACATATTCAGATAGATTTTGGGAGTCTTAACAAAAAGAAAAGCATTTCTGCAAAAAAAGATACTTAGATATTTAACAAAATGACCCTGAACGTCCTTCTGATCTAAACATTCAACAAGTTTGTGCCTGACTGGCGGGTGAAGGGTAAAGCACAGAGCTTGCCATTTCATGGAAGCAGCTGGGGAGAGGTTTACCGCTGCCTGGAGGGAAGGGCTGTCGGCCTGGTTTTTATCAGAAAGAAATATGGAGCATTCGCCAAAGGATCCGTCAAGTGAAAAAGGCAAGCTGATGTAGAGCAGTGCACTGGTGCTCTGTGTGTGTGTGTGTGTGTGTGTGTGTGTGTGAGCTCACTGTGACCCCATGGACTGTAACCCGCCAGGCTCCTCTGTCCATGGCATTCTCCAGGCAAGAATCCTGGAGTGGGTTGCATGCCCTCCTCCAGGAGATCTTCCCCACCCAGGGATTGAGCCTGCATCTCTTATGTCTCCTGCACTGGCAGGTGGGTTCTTTACCCCTAGCGCTGCCTGGAAGTGTCTGTGTGTGCATGCATATACCCTGGAAAGATCCACAAGAAGCCACAACTGGTGGCCTCCTCACAGGAGGCCAGGAGTCAGGGGGTGGGGCTGCAAACCACTTTGAATTTTGTGCCTTCTCATAAACCACTGCCTCAGATACAAATTGATTAACAAAATAGACAGGGATGCTGCTTTTCAGCTGACCTTCATCTCTCCTCTGACTGTTCTTCATCTCTTTTTAAAATCTAGTTCTCCTTCCTTGGGCATCTTCAGAGAATAGGAAGACTCATTTTACCATCCTGAGATCCAGTTGACACATGACAGGGCCTGATGATCTAGAGGCCTTCTCTCCCCGCTTCTTGCTGCTCTGGAGAATCACCCAGCAGTCAGACATCTCTGGGGGTGCACAGGATGGGATGATGAGACTCTGACCTTGCTTTCTGGCCCTGTGCAGCTGTGTGGCTGCAGGTTGCTTGCTACCCCTCTCTGAGCTTCCATTTTGCATTTGTGAAATGGAGAGGTGGCTTCCAGCACAGAGGTCCTGTCCGTACTGCTGGTCAGGGGTCCTGCTCTATGGAGGGAATGCTAAGCTTCTCCCCGCCCTCCTCTCCCATCTCCCTGGACAAGACACGCTCTCCCGGGCTCAGCAGGCGCTCTGGCTGCACAAGCTGCTGCAAGCTTCTTCAAAACAAGCCCTGCAGGTTCTGCACTCATTTATCTCTCCCTCCTAGCCCCTCCTTCCCTCTTTTTCAATTCCCAGACTCCAGAGATTGTGTCTCTGGCTTGCTTGATGAAGATAAGGCTTCAGAAAGATTTTAATCCTCACACCGTGATTGGTTACCCCAGCTCTGGTGCTTAGCTCTGGTGCTTACTTCTACCTGCAGGGCTCACGCCTGTGCTTTTGGATGTTCATTGCTTTTAGGCCTTGATTGAATTTTAAGAGGCCGAATCCTTAATTCTGTTTATAAAGTTAAGCACCTTGTTGACCCGCTCTCAATGGGGAGGAACTGATTTTGCTTGTTTCCAATGAAATACACCATTCCTCCACCCGGCATCCGAGGCTTGGAACCAAAGGGCTGGTTTTGCTTTAAGCCAGTGGCTAGGGAAGACATCTATTTTTCAACTGGAGGGATCTTCCTAGGGTAAAAAACTCCAAATCTAAACACATGTCCTACTTCTCACCCTGGATCAGTCCCAAATCATACAAAACACTACACATGAGCCAGACAATGGAACAATTTGATTTAGGCTAATAGATTCTCAGGTGGCAGAGTGGTAAGGAATCTACCTGCCAATACAGGAGACACAAGAGAGTGGGTTCGATCCCTGAATCAAGAAGATCCCCTGGAGGAGGGCATGGCAACCCACTCCAGTATTCTTGCCTGGAGAAACCCATGGACAGAGGAGCCTGGCAGGCTATAATCCAAAAGATTGCAAAGAGTCAGACATGACTGAGCATACACACATCCTGCAATGGACCAAGGTTTTGCCAGGGGTCAGAGAGAGGCAGGTCAGAGGGAGGCAGAGATGTGGGGCTGCCCCCATAGGGCCCGTACCAAGGAAGACTGGTGGGAAAAAAATGGGCAGAGCTGGGATGCCGCTTCCAGGACCCTGTCACACGCCCTGTGACATGCTGCACACGAATGGCACGCTGACCTGGGAAGACTTCCTGGCCCGCCGTGGCCTCCAGGGTCAATGTCTGGCCACTCCCCTCACTCAGCATCTTTCGCCAGACTGCCTGCTACTTGGTTAGATAACATCTTCCTGATTGTTTAATACAAGGTTGCATGTTTCTTGTCAATCCCAGGTAATGCCTGGCACAGGGCTGGTCTGCATCATATCTCAGGGTTCTAGAAGAAGGTTAGAAAAGGGACCAAGGCACCCCATCCCCATGCTATGAGCAAGGAGAAGAGTATGGGGTGGGGGCAGGGGGCGGGGGCCGCTCATAGGCTCAGAGCAGGGGACCAATGCGGAGGGCAGCGCCCGGGCGGCGCAAGGGTCACACTCACATCTCCTTCTCCTGGTGGAGCTTGTGGGCCTCTTGCCGGAGGCTCTCCAGCTGCTGCTGGGCGTCCTGGAGCTCCCGGGACGTCCGCTCCAGCTCCCGTGCCAGCTCCTGGTTGGTGAGTCTCAGCTTGGTGTTCTCAGCCTTGGTCTCGTGCTTGTCGTTGTGCAGGGCGGCGCACTGGCCTTCCAGCTGGAAAGGCGGAAGGGGGTGTGCAGGGGGGAGTGATGAGGGCCCAGCTCCGTCAGGCTGCCTCTCCTGGCCCCGCCTGGCTTCCTCCACATGGTGAGCAGCGGCCCTTGCTACTGCCCCTCACCATCCTCCAGCCTCAGTCAGCTTCGTCCTGCCCCTCAATTCACACACATACACACACACATACACACACACTTCTGAGGGCAGGAAGGAGCTTCCAGAGCACTCCTGTCTCTCCCCTGTCTCCATGGGGCTACTAAACAGGCCGGGGAGGACTTTCCTACCCATGCAGTCGTTGAGAATCCACCTGCCAATGCAGGAAACATGGGTTTGATCCCTGGTCCGGGAAGATTCCACATGCCAAGGCACAACCAAGCTACAACTACTGAGCCCACGCTCTAGATCCCCGGAGCTGCAACTACTGAGCCTGTGTCCTAGAGCCTGTGCTCCACGAGAGAAACCATCACAATGAGAAGCCCTCAAACCGCAACAAAGAATAACCCTGGCTCACCAACTAGAGAAAAGCCCACCGAGGACCCAGCATAGCCAAAAGGAAATCAACTTTTAAAAGCAACATTGTTTTAAAAAAAAAATAGTCCTGGGAGGGGGCTGCACCATTCAGAAAGACCATCATCTGTCCCTCTATCCCAGTGCTGATGACCATCGTCTCACCAGTGGTCTCATCAATGTCTTAGGCTCTCGTGAAATCCCTCTTGTCCTCCACACCAGTTACTTTCCCTTGGTCTTTGATGGAGGTGGAAACCACTAAGTGACATTCTTCACACAGCCACCTTCCCCAGCCATGAATCCTGAATATCAATCTACTTATTCCCTTTTCTTCTCTCAGCTAAAACAAGTCCGAGTCCTTTCATCTAAACAAGTTTGCTATGGTAGCCACAAACCCTGCAAACCCTTAGGAAATAGCCCAAACAGGTCCAACCAAACATGGACCTTTTCTCATGTCCCTAAAGCAACTAAACACCTTAAGGTTTTTCTGGCTGGCGATTAGTCTGTACAGAGCTTCTAACCCTCTCACCAGAGGAGGACTCAAAGCAAGGCATACAGATCATAATGGATTTAGTTGAATGAATGTGGCCAGTAAGAGAAAAAGAAGCAAAAACAAGAATGTCTGTGCCAATCTCAAGAGGCCCCTGAGTAATCAGGCAAACATGCAGTAATTAAGTCGAGTGGCAATCATTCATTGAGGGGATAAATCTATTGGGGAAGAACTTAATACATAACAGTAAGGAGGAGAAGAGGGAAGAGAAGCCAGGTATGACTGTGCAGGGAGGATGGGGAGGCAGCTGGCAGTTCCGGGCGTTGAGAGCATCTCGCTGCAGGAGAAAAACCAAAATCTACGGGTTGGGGATTCGCAGGAGTGGAACTGTCTTCCAGCCTTAGCATGGGGTGTCTTCAAGCATATTTTAATGTGTTGCTAAAAATATCCCTCTCTTTTCAAATGGAAGCAATGCGTCTGGGTCTGTCCAGGGCTGGATTCCTTCCAGCACCAAACGAAACAAAACAGGAGGCCAAGTGGCAAACGGTCCTCTCTCTACCTATGAGCCCCTTACTTTGAAGAGGAGGCTTGCCTAGGTTTCCCTGGTGACTCAGACGGTAAAGAATCTGTCTGCAATGCAGGAGATACAGGTTCCATCCCTGGGTCAGGAAGATCCCCTGGAGAAGGGAATGGCAATCCACTCCAGTCATTTTGTCTGAAGAATTCCATGGGCAGAGGAGCCTGGTGGGCTACGGTCCATGGAGTCACAAAGAGTCAGACATGACTGAGTGTCTGATTTTCATTTTTCACAGTCCATCTCTCTGGGGTCCTATGCCAGGCTCTCCCAGACAAGGTGGATGGACACAGGGATACTGCCTAGCCTGTCTCTGGGGACGCGGGTGCATCAAGGGAGCGTCTGGTGTCTGCATCGATCCTGCGGGGTGATGGGAACAGCCACAAAGGGGCTGATGCACATTTTCTGGGTGCATGGGAAGAGAGGGAGTGGACAAATGGATCTTTGAGGAGCCTCTTCCAACTGGAGGCATCCCCAGCCATCCTGGCAGGAAGACATCACAGTCTGCAGGCTCCTCCCCCAAAATCAGTGACTGCATCCCCATGCCTCAGCATCTCCCTCCTCTCTCACATAGGATGCAGGAAACAAACTACCGTTTCGGCATCCTGGTGGCTCCCAGGCATAATTAAACCCCCATGTCTGCAGATATCTCGACTCTCAGCAATTTTTCCAAGTTAAACACCAGGCATGGGAGAGTATAAAGGTTTTATCTCGGGATCACCTATGATTTCAAATGCTCTCTTTTGTACCACTAAATGATTCTTCTCAGATTGGAAAAAATTAAGTCCTTAAGTGAAGGGCAGAGAAAGTGGGTAAGAAAAGAGGGGAGGGTAGAGTGGAGAGTTGGGTCCTCTGAGGATGTGGAGGAAAGCTCACCCGCTTCTGCTTCTGGACCAGCTGTTCCAGCTCCTGCTCCTTCGAGAACAGCTTCCGCTCCAGCTCCTGACTGCGGGCCCGGAACCTCTCCGTGTCCTGCCAGACCAGGGAGAGGGACACATGAGGCCCAAAGGCACCTGGATGGAGATTGCTTTCACCACCTTGAACCTGCTCAACAGCAGGATCCACTCAGCCTTTGGACTTCCAGTAGTCTCGCACAGATGTGAGAGTTGGACCATAAAGAAGGCTGAGCGTTGAAGAACTGATGCTTTCAAATTATGGTGCTAAAGAAGACTCTTGAGAATACCTTGGACAGCAAGGAGATCAAACCAGTCAGTTCTAGAGGAAATCAACCCTGAATATTCACTGGAAGGACGGATGCTGAAGCTGAAGCTCCAGTACTTTGGCCACCTGATGTGAAAGCTGCCTCACTGGAAAAAAACCCAATGCTGGGAGAGATTGAGGGCAGGAGGAGAAGGGGACAACAGAGGAGGTGACGGTTGGATGGCATCATCCACTCAATGGACATGAGTTTGGGCAAACTTTGGGAGATAGTGAAGGACAGAAAAGCCTGGTGCGCTGCAATCCAAGGTGTTGCAAGGAGTTGGACACAACTTAGCCACTGAACAGCAACAACAACAACAACACGACATCCCAGAGCTTCATTGACCCCCAGTCCAGGTGGACAGGGAGCATGTACAACTCTAGCTCCCTCCAGGAATGACCAAAATCAAGCCCAGCCTTCAGGATGCTTCATAGTAAACCCGTCCATCCCTCTGTACATTTACTCCTTGTTCACTCATTGATCCAACAGATACTTGTTGATTGCCAGCCTACTCTGCTCCAGGCACAGTGGGGGTGCCAAGGGTACATCAGTCCATAAAAGATGATGACCCCTGCTCTCTGGGGCTAACATCTTAATAGGATGAGACAGACCACAATCGATCAAAATGAACCAGTAAATTACATGCCAAATTTGAAGGTGACAACGACCTTGAAAAAAAAAATCAAAAGCCAAGAAATAGGAAATCAATAATGCCAGGGGGATACTGCAATCTTAGGTCCGGGAGGCGGAAGGTGGTCAGAGCACGTGCTATTTCACTATTTCAGCCTGGCCGGCACAGCCAAGCCCCGGACTTGAATGGACTCTCACCTTTAGGAGAAATTGCTCCTTCTCAGTTTTGATTTGCTGTTCCATCTCCTCGTAGAGGTGCTGGATTTCTTCATCATAGGCAGCGATTTTCCTGCGCGGGTGACAGAAGGAGAGTCTGATGAGATGCCTCTGTTCCCCAGTGGAGCTCTGGGTGGTGGGGGTGAACACGTAGGTCGGTCAGCCGAGGCTGCAGGGTCAGCTCCTCAGGACCAGTGGACCACGGAGGACCGGCAGGACCCTCTCGTCCCCCTGTCTCCCGGCCATCCCTCCCAGATTATCCACACACCTGCTGGTGGGAGGGGAGCATCCCGGCTCCATCTTCTTGTGCTCGGCTTTATGCCAGCACCAGCCCACCCAGCCTTGTGACACTCATCATCGCATTGCCTGCCGATCCCTATGCTTGTCCACAGCATAAAAGTGTGGGCTTTTTCTCTGCTTGGTTTTTGGTTTATCTCTTTCCCACATTGGATACTTTCTCTCCACCTGGCTTCATCAGCACTGTCTGAGCTGTACTCTCCTGGAAACTGTGTGCTGAACTTTGGGTGACCCTCACTTTTCACAGGCTCTCAAAAGGTTCCATGGTGATGACCACCACCTCCATCACAACACGCCCTACAGAGGGAGGGGCCACTCCTGTCCAAGGACTCAGACCATCTCAGCACAGGGCCGTGGGGAGGGTGAAACTCAAAATGTTAGTCTCTCAGTCATGTCCGACTCTTTGCAACCCTATGGGCTGTAGTCCACCAGGCTCCTCTATGCATGGAGTTCTCCAGGCAAGAATACTGGAGTGAGTCGCCAGTCCTTTCTCCAGGGGATCTTCCTGACCCAGGGATTGAACTCAGGTCTCCCGCACCACAGCCCAAGGGCTGGTCTTTCCTCACTCGCTGTCTGCTGGGGGAACCTGGCACCCCACACACAGGCCACAGTTTTGATTGGCGTCCTTTCAGTTCTATAGGAACCACACCGCTGCCCCAGAATACACGGTCAAGGTTGCTCACTGATCTAAATTCACCTTCCTGGTTGTACCTCCAAGACCATAAACCTGACTTGGAGTGAGTACTGCATTGGCCCAGGGCTGTGCCCAGAGAGCCTCTGAGCTGAGGCTCTCTGCTCACCACTGGACCTCGCATTCTGGGAATAACAAGTGTCTTTTTGGCAAAGAGGGAGAACTCTCTTCTCGGTAAATGACAAATGTTTGGATTGCTGCTTTGGTTCTTAGCTACCCCACAATTACAAGAAAATCTTGGCAAGAAACAAGAAACTGAGACACCTGCTGTTGTACATGGACCCCTAGGGGACAGAAATGGATACAGTGGATGGGAAATTTCAGAGAGAAAGATGGTCTTCCCCTGGGCCCTGGAATTATCTTCCTGTGATGGAAGAAATTCAAATGCTACATGGCAAATGGTATCTTGGAAAACTACAGACAGTGATTCCAACTATACAAGCACCAGAGAACTGATAAAGTGAGATGAGAAAAACTTTGAAATGGATTTGACACTGCTAAAGTCATACTAATTAAAATCATTCATATAAGCCATGTACCATGTAAGCCTAATAACCATGCAGGGCATTAATTCTACATTATCATTAAATGTGTTACATTAACTTGAAGTTTTATTGGATTAAACTAATAAACTTTATGCTTTTCGTGCTCACATGTCAGTTTGTTAGTCATGAAGTAAGTAATTTTATAAACACAGATGTGAGAATTGGACTACAAAGAAGGCTGGGCACCAAAGAATTGATGCTTTTGAACTGTGGTGCTGGAGAAGACTCTTGAGAGTCTCTTGGACTGCAAGGAGATCAAACCAGTCCATCCTAAAGGAGATCAGTCCTGAATATTCATCGGAAGGACTGATGCTGAAGTTGAGAAACTCCAGTACTTTGGCAAAGAGCTGACTCATTAGAAAAGACCCTGATGCTGAGAAAGATTGAAAGCAGGAGGAGAAGGGGATGACAGAGGATGAGATGGTTGGATGGCATCACTGACTCGATAGACATGAGTTTTGAGCAGAGTTCAGGAGATGGTGTAGGACAGGGAAGTCCATGGGATCTTGACAAGTTGCACAGAACTTAACGACTGAACCTCAAGGACAACGGCAAAACAAGTGGAGGGAAGAGAGATGGAGCCTCTGAATGGCACCTACCCCAGCCCTCATCACGGAGGAGGGGCCCACCGCAAAGAAGCCCTGGGATGCAGGCGGGCATCAGTGGTCCTGGGCCCATACGGGCTCCCACATGGAGCTCATACTCTAGAAATGCTTTTGAACAAACCTGGTCTCCTTGGAGGCTGCTGAGGCATGAAGGACCTCGGAGGTTGAGCCGTGACCCAAGGCTGGACACACAAGCCCGAGAATGAGAATATTAAGGTGCTGTGTACACCACGGGCATTACTAACCCAGCTCAGGGGGTGCAGATGACCAGGGTTATGATCCAGAACCAGCTCATTTCCTCTGTGTGACCTTGGGTAAATGCTTCGACATCCTTTGATCCCAGGATAACAGCTGCTCCCCGTTCCTCCCAGCATCATCACAATGAACGAGCCAGTAAAGTGTTTGGAACTACAAAGTCCTAGATGGATATAAGGGATTATTTATTATCCTAATTATTATCCTGGGCTGCAGAGGGCGAGGGCCAGTGCTCCCCAAGGGGTGGAGGGTCTTCGTTTTAAGGATAAAAGGGCTGCTGGGTTTGGAAAGGGTCAGAAGCAATCAAAAAGGTGAAGAACAGAAAGCTTAGTCAATAAAACCTCCTGTCGAAGTGATCCATTAGAGACGCAGGCAGTGTGTGAGCAGGGGCTGCAGAGAAATTACTTCTCTGGGAGAAACAGTGGCGAGAGGCACTCTCAAAAGATGTGGGCATATGGAATGTGGTGCCCCAGCCAAGCTCACCACATTCTGCCATCAGAGGAAAGAGGCAACCGATTGTGTTTGCTTATTACACACCCCTTTGTTGCCACAGTTTCTGGAACCACTCAGATTGCCTGATGCACAAACACAGACTCTGGAGTCTTCTCCATGAGGATTTCTCCATCTGTTCCGATTTCCTGACCCCCTTCCCTGACCTCAGAGAACACCGCATGTCTTTATTTGAACCTTTCAAAGTCGTGAATGATTCTTTCCTTTGGGTTTATGCAGTCTCCACTAGGTTATGGACACTCAGACACTGAGGTCACCCACAGGACCTGTGCTCAAAGTGTTAACACTGAAAATCTGTGAGAAACAAATATAAGACTTTGGATACCAGATTCAAAAGTCCAAGGGTGGACCACATGGGGTGGCAGGGAAATGCCAGATAATATCTCCACCAAGTATGTACCCAAACTGCTTTAGAACAGCTCCAGTGAGAGAGAATGCTGGGTTTCTAACCAGCTCTTTCAGAGCAAATGACCTACCGAAAGCCAGGGTGATAGGTCCAACCAACCTCAAGAAGACAGCGCCATCCTGGGTGTCTGACTGCAGTGGATGCCCCCTCTCGCAAGGATCACTTGTGTGTGTGTGTGTGTGTGTGTGTGGTGTGTGCATGTTCACAGTATCAGGTGTATTGGAGATCTAAGGATGGGACGTGTGTGGGAAGAAAGGAGGGCTGGAGACAGCGCTGTTCCCCATCAGTACAAGGCTTAGGTTCAGAGAGAATTCTCAGGGAGCAAGACCTTTCCCTGCCAGCCTCTGACAGGCACCGTGGAAATTAATTAACCTTCACCAACTGCACATGGAGAGGTAGCAGGCGCGAGCTGAGTATTTTAATACTCAGCACCACTGGGGCCCCAGCTAACGGCGCATGGGTGAGGCCTTCCCGCTGTCGAATATTAATTGGTCAAAATATATTTTTTTTCCAGTTTGCTCTCTCCTTTTCCTTTCCTTAGGAACAAAGGGTCTCAGAAAATCATCAGGTCCAGTATCTACGTTCTAAGCAGGATGTGCTGAAATTACTCCAGGAAACAATGCAGTGTCTTCCTTCCCTAAATGGAGGCGTAGTTTTGACCTGGGACAGGACAAGCAGCATTTGTCTGCACTTTAGATACATTTCAGAAACTTGAACTCAAAGGACAGCTTAAGAAATGGCCACAGGCTTGGAGAGGGGTCGTTCTGATTTCATGTGCTTGCCTGTGGACGGGCAGTGGTCTGATACACAGGACTCCAGTTTGCAGAGCCTGGTGAAAGGCAGATGCAGAGAGAGGAAGGGCCCCCTCCCATCACAGACAAGTGTCCTGTGTCCCCACAGGAAGGGAAATGAGGGTCGAGGCAGGGAGCGGGGCCAGTCTGTGGTCACCCAGTTTCCTGGGGCCTCTTATCCCGTGTCTACCCACAGTACCAGTCTGTCCTTGCAGCATCCCTTTTCAGACAAATATCATATGATATCACATATGTGGGATCTAACAAAAATGGTAGAAGTAAACTTATTTACAACACAGAAATAGAGGCACAGACGGAGAAAACAAATGTACGGTTACTGGGGAGGAAAGTGGGGGTCTGGAGGGGAGATTGGGATTGACACATACGCACTACTATATAGAAAACAGACAAGTAATAAGGACCTACTGTAATAAGTACTCTACTCTGTAATGACCTATATGAGAAAAGGATTTTAAAAAGATATACATATATACACACACATATATATATGGCTTCCCCAGTGGCTCAGCTGTAAGGAATCCTCCTGCAATGCAGGATACCTGGGCTCCATCCCTGGGTCGGGAAGATTACCTGAAGAAGGGAGTGGCTACCCATTCTAGTATTCTTGCCAGGAGAATCCCATGGACAGGGGAACCTGGTGGGCTACAGTCCAAGGGATCTCAAAGAGTCGGACTGGCTGAAGCGACTTAGCACGTGCGTGTGCGCACGCACTCACACGCATAGATATATGGGCTTCCCTGGTGGCTCAGATGGTAAAGAATCCGCCTGCAATGTGGGAGACCGGGGTTTGATCCTTGGGTTGGGAAGATCCCCTGGAGGAGGTCTTGGCAACCTACGCCAGCATTCCTGCCTGGAGAATCCCCATGGACAGAGGAGCCTGGTGGGCTCCATGAGGTCGCAAAGAGTCAGATGCAACTAAGTCCAGCACAGCATATGTGTATGTACAGCTGAT